GCGATTTTTCTTTTCTAAACCTTGAAACACAAAGTCTTTTGTCTTTTTCTTGATTGTAAATATAACAAAATCCCTGAAATTTCACAGTCTCGAGACACTCTAATATTAATTGTTTTAAAAAGTGCTCGGATATTTGAATAAGTGGATTTTTTAATCGATAATTCGCCATAAAATACAAGAACGCGACCTCTCGAATTCCTCAACACCATATTTGACTATTTACTTAAACGGCGTTTGCCTGAAAAAGTACAATAATTTTCGAGTTTATTGCCCCAGAATATCAATAAACGCTTTTGGAGAATGGGTTTAAACTTCAGAAACGCATTCAGCATTAATGATCGATACGATATTGATATTGAAAAATTTTACGGTCTCTGTTATTAGTCGAAGGTATAGTCATAAATGCCATATCTCTTCATTATCAAAATTTTATGCCAATTCTCTGGCAGTGTGGCATTTTGCATTAATTGGGGAGATGTGGAAAAATCAATAAAGATGTAATGTCTCAATACGGGCGTCGCATTTGAATATTGATTTTCGCGAGCGCTGATGGGGCGGCTTTTCCGCCCGCGAAAGCTCGCTGTATTTCACGCGATCGCGCGAGAAACGGCGAAGATGAGAAGGAAAGGGAATCAATGTGCGGTACAAATTCTTTCTTCTTCACGTACCCTTGTCGCTCTTTCTCAATTGCCCGAAGAGAGCATCTTATAAAATGCGCCGACACGCGGTTTAATACTATTAAATTTTATTATGTCCGCGTTGTATTCAATCGAATGTCTGAAATGTGTTGTGTTATAATAATTTATTGTGACTCTCTTCCTCCGTCCTCCTTTCACACTCAGTCCCTCCCGCTCTTGCGCGACCGATTCTGTGTCCGTGGTGGAAGTTTTATTTTCACAAATTAGCATCTAAACTCCCATGCCGACGTTACTCACAACATAACACCAACAAATAAAATCACATTGCTTTCGCCCCAAAGAGTGCGGTGCGAGGGAGACAGACTGCGCCAATGAAATAAATTACAAATGAAACAAAGTGAAATGACAAAAAAGGCGAAATATTTAAAAGAATACCGACACCTAAATAGTTTGTTTTTATCCCTCCTCGCCTCATCGGTCTTTTTTATCCCCCCGAACAGCTCGTCTGCCGGCCGCGAACATTAATTTCCCAAATTCACCGATTTCGGTCTCAGAGATGCTGCGCGGAGCGATTCCTAGCAATTGCCCGGCACTACAACCATTTTATGCGTAAAATTACCATGCGTTCGAGGCGCTTCGGTGGGGCCCAAGATGGTGAGAGCCGATTGAGGCCGCAGAAACGGGGGCCCAGCGAAGGGCTGAGCGATGGCGATCGAGAAGGAGGAGAATCGTAAAATGTGTGTATTTCAATGAGAGCGACGGCTATCAAGTGGTTTAGTGCTTTACCACGGCTCTAGAAGCATTGGCTCATGATGGAATTCGGAGGAATGTCAAAAATGCGCCGCTGGGAGATTTCTGAGCGCTCAACCTCGCTGTGGTGTCTCTGGAGGAGACTCCAAAAATGGGCAAAAAAGTAAAAGTGAGGGAGACGTTCGTTCCGTGTCGCTGGACTCAAGCAGGAAGTTCCCTGTCGTGAAATTTTGGATGAATTTCGCAGAGAGTCTTATTTGTTTTGACCCGTCAATTCTGAGGATTAACGCCACACGGGGACGACAATCGGTACCACTCTGTGTCTTGATGGCTTTTGGTGGACAGGCCGAAGAACTAATAGAGCCGATGAGCAATAGAAGAAGCTTAAAGACTCTGCCTTGTTGACAGTGAAACTCAACACTAAACAGAGGTGAAGAAAGAATACTTTTTGATGATTTATTTTAAAGGAATATTTCTTATATTTTCTCTTATAATAAATAATAAACTTTAGTGGATTTGTTTTGCAAAAAAAAAAACAAAACAGTTTTTATTGAATGCAATTAATTTTTAGTAAACAATTTTTTAATTTTCACACACAATAAGGTTAAACTTATACATTTTACTAATGTTTACAAAAATACTTTTTAACTTCTAATAATTTTACGCGCTAAATAGGATTTTCCTTCAATTTTTCACTACATTTGAATAATTTAAATGAAAATAAGCATAAAAATAGATTTTGAAAAGTGTGTTTTTCAACTATTACAGATATTGCTGTTATTAAAAAATTATACACACTCACAATTAGATGAATTGACAACCCCCTGAGATTTGGAGGTAATTTGAGCCCGGCCGAAAGAGCAGCGAATGATCAGTGCGATGATACGCTAATTTGCAGTTTCATATCCATAAAATACTAATATACGAAAATCTTGCAATTCAGAGAGAATCCACCGTTGTTTATTAGTGTTCTTAGCTAGAACATACATTTGAGAGGATTGTTAGAATGGCCCAAGTGCATCTATTGGCTGAAAATGGCATTGGAAATACAGAGAACGCTTCTATGATGCCGCTGCCGAGGAGCAGTTAAGACAAGGCATGGAAGACGGTGCGCGAAAAAGATCAAGAAAAAAATGCTACACAGTGTTGGTGTAAAAAAGGTAAAAACGCGATTCATTATAAATTATTCATTTTGCATTCGGCGCACTTTGAGATCAGATCCGGCGACTGGGAATCTGTGTATAAATGCGGGAAGGTGGGGAGTAATTAAGGCTTCGGCGGGTCACAGAGTTGCCTAAGCGCGGGTCAAGGGAGATGAAGAGGAGCGCGCGTTCTCTGTGCAGGCAATTAACATATGAGAGGCGACCAGAAAGATGAAGAAGCTTCTGGTTTCCGCACACGGACAGTCACTTTGATCAAATGGAGGCTGCGGAGAAATTCTGCCGATTTCAGATGCCAAGAATGCCAATTATTTCATTATTTTATGGCCACAAGTGGAATTTCTAAGCAAGAAATTGCAGCTAATTAGACATAATGCGGAGTGTATTTGAGGAAAAATGTTTTCTTTGCGCAGCTTTAGCGCAGAACAGGATTTTCAAAGTTAATCGCACACTTGATGATCACGATCACCAGACATATATTGGAAATGAGCAGGAAATCCAGAAAAATGGTTTGACCGTGAAAACGGTTGTCTTTCAGATTGTTCTATAGCTCTTAACATCTCGTGCTCAAAAGCCTCTCAGAAATCATATCAAATTCGAGATCGATCACAGAGTTGCCGACTCTTGAACGACAGGTATTCCATCGCGCAGCTTCCATTATTTCCAATTGAAAATAAAATAAATTAGGAACACTGAATGCCACTGTCTGAGGAAATTGACTTGGAGAGGATGAAGACTATAATATGACTTGCTGTTTTTTGTTCTAACCTCTTCGTGAAATGTTATTAACATTTATTTATGAATGCTGCAAGTTCATTCATCCATTGCGTCTTTTCCCATTCATAAAATCCAAATCGTGAAAGAATTTTTTCATCCCATCATCTCGATATTCCCATTCTGTATATTATTTCCCTTTATTTTCCCTGACATGTGTCTTAGAATGTTATGTGATATTTTATAAGTGAGTAGAGAAAAAGTGTTAATTTCCGATGCACGGCAGTTTTTCTCCCGTGAATGGTGGTTTTATTGTGAGAAATGTTCCTTGAAGCCAACTTGCGTCCGAAAAAAGTCAAATGTGAAAGAATCGTTCTTCTCAAATGAGACACGTTAATTTGCGTCAAATTGCTCGAGAAAGAAAAAAAGGAGGTAAGAAAAAAAAACTCCTCAGAGACTTTCTCAAACATGGCCGGCCAATATTGGAATACCTTTTCACGAGAGCGCAAAAAGCGCCCCAAAATTGCTCTTTTCCCATACGGAACAGATAAATCTTCACATATTTTTACCAATGCAAATTTATACAAATTAAATTTTAATATAGTTCTCCCAATTAAGCGTCTGCATGATTGGTTGGCGAGGCTTATCTTAGTTTCTTCTGTCCGGCCTTATCGCTTCTTGCCTTCGATTAACATTTTCGTGATTTTATTCTACAATATGTAAATTCTCTGTACGAAATTTATTGCATTTGTATCTATTGGGCCACCCAGACTTCCATGCTGGCCGCGATTCGTCGAATTGTTTTCTCCAAATAATTGCTACAAATATTTCCGTGTTTTTCCCATGCGACTTTAAGCGTGTGGCATATTTTTTTTGGAGTGTTTGCATAAATAAGATACGCTGATGGGAAAAGAAGATCTCATGGCTTGAGAAATCTGAGATTCTTGCAAGTTAAATGATTTGTATCGTCTCTTCTGATGGACTTGTGATGAAACTGAAGAATAGAATGCGCTTCCGAAGTTGAATTTTTACTGAATAAATGGGTTTGTCTGAATGTTTTAAAGATGAAATTAAACCATATTTTATACGAATGACCTCTTGAGTTTTCTATAAAAATTGCCACTGCAATCTTCAAAAAATGAATCAAGAGGCACTCAATTGAAAGAACCAGATCATCCAGAAATGTGAATATTGAGAATATTTCTTATTTATCCCTGAAAATAAATTGCGTTCTTGCAAAACATAAACATAAATTGCATTTTTTTTTAGTATTTTATACATTAGAAATAAGTGAATGTTGTTTCTGACATATTTTAACCACAATTAGAGACGATAGATAAATCATGGGGATTTTCTTATACATACTGAATATTTTCTAGAAAAATAAAAATTGGACATGATGTTGTTGAATGTGTTGAATTGTTTGCCCCTTCATACGAAACTATAGTAAATATTTTGTATATTTGAAAAAATAGAAATTTATACATTAAGGATAATATGGCAATTTCTCTTTGAGTTAAGCAGAAGATTTTCTCAATTTTCTAGAGCTAGAATTTTCTTAAATTCAAAGTACAACAATTCATTACATTTGACCACACTTTGAGAGTGGAAACCAACATCTCGGAGGAATTGTTCTTCTTGCGGACACGGGCGATAATTCTGCGAGGATGCGATTAATAACTTTGCGCAAGAATGTCGCGGAGAGACAGATGTCTGTGGGAAGGGGGATTAAACTCACTGGGATTAATGTCATGCCCATGACAATCCAGATCCAAGTGATGGTTCATCACCAATGATGGTTGCACGAGTCCACCACGATGATTATGCAAGGGAAGCTGGTGAGCCAGAGGGCCACCGATCTCTGCCATTACCATATATGGTGGCTCTGGCGAGGGTTCGGCTTTAATTTGTAATCCACACTCACTCGGGGGATGCACTTCTTCACCAGCACTTGTGCCGAACAGGGTGAAATTCGGGTGTCCAGACAGCCAATGAGTTAGCTGTCCAGGAGCATAATCACTGTTTATCAAAGTGGAATTCTCTCGTCTCTTCAGCGTTGCGGCGACTGTTTAAGGATTCCGATCTCCTTGCGCGGAGTGAATATGTCAGAAAATTGCCATTGTCTTCACGCGGATTTCACTGTGAATGCAAAGCCGACGCCCAGATCTTCCTGAACACCTCAAGTAGTATCCTTATGCGAGTCCTACTGAACTGGCTGGCTATTCAGATCGGTTTAACCTGTCTCGCTACGGAGAAGCACTGCTTTCTCAACCCGTATTTGCAAATTTCGCAACCCCCGAAAAGGACGCGCACTCGCGCAAAATGAAGCGGGACACACGGCAGTATCGCAACTCGAGACAGTGTTCTCACATCGAGAGTCAGCGCGCAACTGACTGGCAGCGACGGTGTTGGGCTTGGTGTGGCCTGGAGTTGTGCGCCGCTTCCACCACACAAATCCGGAATGCCTCGCCCAGAAGTGGCGGCATTGATTGGTTGCTAGGGTGGACTGGGAGCCGGTGTTCTCGTCGAATACCCATCCTCCTGCACCCATACAAAATGGTCGATGTTTCCCTCACACATTCTCAGACTGTCGCTGGCGCCCGAGGATCCGCGCAAGGACGAGACTTCAGGTGGGAGCCCCTTCTTTCGCGCCCCTCGTTCCCTCCGCCGTTCCCCCCGCCGCGCGCGGAGCCCGGGAAGACTTCACAAAGTTTGGATGGGACACAAAAAACTTTTCATGTTTCCACCGATAGAACTACAATTGTTGATTGAAAGTAAAACAAGTTTCACGAAGATGTAGAATTGGGAAAAAAGATCTCCACAATTCAACTGATGTGTGATTTTTTCTGGGGAAAAGCAGCAGCTTGTCTAACCCAAAATGGGAACTTATAGGAAAAAGTTCTTGAGCAAATTAAACAAGAGAGGGTTGCTTTAGGAAATGTTCTCATTTTTTTCAGCGTAGAGAGGAATTTTTCAAATAGAAATAATTTAAAAATCTAAAGTTCAAAGTTCAAAGTTGAAATTCAAATAATGACAAAAATTTGCAAATACGACAATTTCTCTGATCTTGAGTGTTCAGAAGTCCGGAAATTTTCATCTTACAATTGTTATAAATGGCAAAAGTGTGCATTTTGCTTACTGGTTGCTTTAAGACTTCCCAGAGCCTTGAAAAGTTTTCCCAAAAGGGATTAACAGACGAGTGGAAAACTCTCCTGATGCACGCAATGAAAGATTTATCAGTCAATGCCTTTCGAGGGGGGCTTTCATTTTCGGTGGGTTCTGGCCGATGCCATTGACTCAGGGTGACACTTTGGAGGGTCTTTCGTGCATGCGCGCTCGAGTGGCTTTTCCTCCTGATTTTCGGGGGTCGCCATTGACAGGCATGAAATACCGCATTCACTGTGCAAATATTTCACAGCCAGAGAAAACTTTTTCAACTCTTTGCCGCACAGATATCTTGTCGCTAAATTATGTGGAAATCTTCCCCATAATTTTCCAAAGTCAGACGTTTTCTGTTGGGTGGAAATTTCGGAAAAATATTTGGCACTTTTCACTTATGGAATGTTCAGCTTTAAGTTGACGGGAAAAAGCTCATGCAGCATTAATGGTAATTTTATTCATCCCTTCGATGGTGGATTGAACTTTTCACCACTGAAGTGGTCCCATATTGTGGAAAATTTTATGCCTTCCTCTTCGATTTTGGGCGGCGAAAGAGGATTCTTGGGGACTCGGGGGGAAAAAGGGACTGAATGGCAATGCGAGAAAAGGGTTGGAAGGGATTTTGAATTGTTATCTTTGGTAAATATATTGTACCTAGAGGAAAAGAGATATATTTCCATGCGCACAAAAATCGATATCCATTAGGAAAATTAAAAATAAATGTGTTTGTGTTGTTCCTCGTACGAAGGACTGTTGCGTGGCGTTTTTCCTTCGATTACAATTCCCAGACATTGTTTTCATAAATATAATTTTCCTCTCTGCACTGAAAAGTGCGCTTTTCGCCCATTGAGAGTTTGTTATCAGGTCAAAAGAACTCCCTTGTCACTTTATTAGCTGGACAAATGAACAGAGAGACTCTTCTCATGTTTATTGCTTTGTTTTGCGCCCCTGAAACTGACCATAAACCCAAAAAATCTCAAGGCAAAGCCATGAAATATGGAAAAAATGTTTGCGGATGAGTAGAAAAACACAGATTCCGCACCTTAGAAGCAAACCCAATAATTGGTCCTAAGCAAACAAATTTACGCAAAACGGTTACTTTACTACCTGTGCCAGACATTGCGGTGATAAAGCGACTGGAATTTCCACCAAATGGCCACACACGGGAATTTCCGCAGGGCTGCGGTGCTCACGGACAGGAAGTGGTGTGAATGGCGCCATTTAGGGAGAAGCAAGTGTTCTCCAATGGGCTGCAGAAGGAAATTCCCTGAGCTCAGCGAGCTGTCTCTTAAGAATGCTGATTAACATTCCTTCTGTGTCGCTGCACGCCGATTCACGTGGAAAATCAGCAAAAGAATCTTCTAATATTATGTACAGTTAATGTTGATTATTGAATTAGTGGCTATTTGTTTAGTAATTAATAACAAAGTCGTCAATTGCATTCAATATACACAACATTTAATTCTATTTTGCAGTGAAGAATACACTTTCTTACGCAAATCCATCTGAAATTCATAATACAGTCTTATTTTGTCATAAGACAATGGTGTCTATTAAATTTTAAACTTGTCTGGAGAGAAAATTAAACATGCTGACTAGGGTTTCATTCAACTTTTCACATTTAATTTCGAATATTTAAGACAATCAATGGACAAAGCTAACACAATTTCCCCGGGAAACTTCAAAGAAGTCTGCAGAATATCAACTGACATTCTTCCAGAAATCAAAATATTTTTCTCATGATGACTCCTAGATTTCTGTGCAGTAATACCATTATTGGCGTAATTTAACCCGTCAATTACTTTACCCTTTTGTCTAAAATTCAAAACATATGCGATCCTTTCACTTCTGCAAAGGACAATATTTTCCTTTGAAGTGCACTTAGGCAAAGCCTCAATGAATCCGTCCCTTCGAGGCATATTTTCGCCCGCACTTGTCCTGTTGGACCAATAACAATGCCAACAACTCGTGTGCGGACAAAAAAAGCGTGGAAGAGCGAAAATAAATTTATTAGCAAAACAGAAGGGAAATGATTTCAATTACTTCCGTATCGATGAGCAATTTCTCGTCTGCATCATTGGAGGGAAATCATAACACAAGTTGCTACCATAAAATGCCTCCGATTGACACCCCGAATGCGAAAAGAGAGGCATTTCATATGATTTTATTGTTACTTATTTTATTTCTGCATTTCACGATTTGTGTGTGATTTATTGATCATCGAACAATTACTTGTTCGGGAGAGGGTGAGAATTTGGGATTTCCTCGCAACAAAGTCGCACTGGATTTCCATATAGACTCTCTTAATGCGTTTGGAGATAAACTCCACCCAATTTAAACCCACCATTATGGACTCTGTGACCAGACGTCCTTTGCGAGATTTCGTTTTCCATTTAAAACAGCCGCGCCGAATAAAATATAACCATTCATAATTGGCGGGAGAAGAAGCCCGGAGATTTCCTCTTTGTCTTCTTCTCGATTGCTGATGGAGCGCGGCTGCCCACCAATGGTCACAGTCTGAAGGCGATTTATGTAGCTTGCTAGCAGCAGGAGTCCAGACAATGGGTGGAGAAGCTGAAATTGAGGGGGAAAAAAGACGAGAAATCCTCCAGCAGATAAAAACTTGTTTGCACACTCGCGCTATTCCACGAAACTTGTCCTCTTCTATTTTCAATAAACCACAAAAATTAATCTTGCCGAGTGGTTATGAGTCGTGGCTATTGATACGGAGAGTTCGTTGTGATAAAATTGATTGACTCGCAGCCTCGGTCACTTAGAGAATTGGAAACCGCACGACTGATAGGACAAGGCTGACAAATGGGCTTCGGCAGATGCGACATCTGCCCAAGGAGCCTTTTTTGCCACATGCGGACTCTGTGGAGACAGGACCAGATTTTGCTCTGGCCCGAGAAACTTGAGCTGCAATTAATTTTTGGGAATGAGCAGCAGTTTGACCACACCTTCAGACAAAATACCAGCAGTTTCGGGTAATTTGAGGCGACTTGCATGATGACTTCTGTTGGGAAAACAAGGGAATCTGATTGACGGACAACTCGACATCCGAATTGAATGAGCAAAGAAGGGAGTTTTACAGTGTTTTTGCGTGATTCCCTCAATTTCTTTCTCAGCACAACTTTCAGTCGAAGAAGTTTGGCGCAAAAAGAACACCCCTAAATACAGTTCAGCCGCACAGTTCACTCAACATTGATGGCCTTTGTTAGCTCCGAACCTCATTGTGTGTTATGCAATGCACACCCCAGGACGAAGAATTAAAGGATTAACGAGATTTCCACTGTGTGAATCCTCTTCAGCCCTCAGCCAAATCCCTAAAGTGTAAATCGAATATTATCGCATTAGCAACATCATTTCCATGCCGATTTGCGTTCCGCTCTGCTTCTTCTGTTGTAAAGGAAGTTTTTGGGCGTGAAAAGACGGTCCTTTTGTTGGTTGATAAAGTCACAGAGATTTTCTTGCCAACTGTCCTGTGAATTTATGCTTTGGCATGAATTTATTACTGTGCGGTTGCTGGATCGTGAGAGTGAAGTGGACAAATATATGTGTAACAATCCACACACTCATCGAGGGTAATCATGATAATATGTAATGTAATCAACTAATAACGCGTTCCAACCCAACCCCAGACGCTCTGCCACAACAACCATATCTTCTGTGATCACATCGTGAAAATCAATCAATCCTGATTAGAGACACCCTCAGAGGACTTTTATGCTACTTTCCAACCTCACCCTTCGCGCTGGCGCCTCTCTCTTTTCCTCCTGAGGCCACAGGGAAAAAGTTGAAAGCGAAAAGGGATGCCTACAAAGGGGGAAATCAATTTAAACCCCTGCAGACCATATGGCCTCGAGTAACGGAGAGTGATCGAGTGAAACAAAAAGTGGAAAATATGATTGTAACCCCTGGAAAAATTTAATCCACCCCTCTGATTATGCCCATCCATTCCGACGTGGGTGGACTGACGGGCGATCCGGCGAAAATTTATTCATTTGACAATTTCCACCCCGAAACGATGCGGTCGCCGCGTCCTTCCGGGGATCATGAGGCTAAGATAAACAACCGCGCGGAGTAATACTCTCGCATTTCCCAACTGTCGGGATTTGTGATGACGGAGAGTGTCTGAGGGACTCACCACTTAAGAAGTCACTCTCGAGAGGATTGAGACATCGTACAAGAGTTGTCGCCATTTAGTGTGCCATCCAAGTGGCTGC